TCCCTATCTCAAGTCAACCATGTGAAAAATTTCTTGGGTCGATTGCTTGATCTGTGCTTTGTCTCGGATCCGACCATAGCGTTGCTAACCCGAGCCCTTTTTTACAATGCACTTGACTCATTTTTTGATTCTCACTTTCTTGTCCCGTTAGATCTGGGAGGATCCTTGGTTTACCTGTCTAAAAAACTTTAACTCAAGACTTTATAAAAAATTTCGAGAAGTTGGTTCTAACTCTTCTCCCTCTCTAGCTATGTAGTAGGTCGGTAAAATTTTTCCGTTCTTAACGCTCAATGCTATAAAAATTACCTATCTCGATGCAGGATACGATTTTTACAGGACCCTAAACAGTTTTACAGCTTCGTAAATAGTAAGCGTAGAAAGTCCGCACATCCATCCTTGTTATCTTTTCTCAATATGTCAGCAAACAATGATCAGGCAACTGCCGATCTTTTTGCCAAATTTTTCCAAACAACCTATTCTCATGAAAACTACTCTGGTCAGCCGTATCCATACAGTTTACCAAGGTCGAATGGCATCTTCAGCCCCTTGTTAAATGAAATCTCACTGCTTCATGATCTTCGACTAGTTAAGCCGGTGTTTTCACCAGGTCCCGACGGAGTTCCCGGCTGTGTACTTAGGTACTGTGCCGACGCTCTGTGTGGACCCTTGTAGAGGTGGGCGCGGGCCGGGCCGGGCTTCGTGTCCCGCGGGCCTCGTCATGAAAACTGCGGGCTTCGTGCCTCAAATAGAGTTTGGCACGAAGTCGTGCGGGCTTCGTGCGTTAGCTAAAAGCCCGCTAGGCCCGAAGAGGTATATTTATGGTATATTTTGAAAAGGAGAGAAGGTATATTCCGAATATATCTGAGGGTCTGACGGTATATTTGTAAGGATTCGACGGTATATTTTTGTATATTTCTGAGGTTCGGACTGTATGTTTGATCGATAATTCCGCGGTCACACTACTTGTCTTCTTCGTTTCGTCCAGCAAACATATCTTCAACAATGTCGAGGGAAAAACATTTTAGATTTTTGGAAAAATGCCAAAAACCTTAATTTACTACAAATTTTGGCTAAAAAAATATTAGCCATTCCTGCTAGCTCAGCAACGAGTGAGCGCGTTTTTTCCACATCAGGAAATATTTTAAATGATAGGAGGACCAGGCTAACAAGCGCTAATTTAGATAAACTAATATTTCTTTATAAAAACATTTAACTTATTTAGATTTAAGAAATAAAAACGAATATGTCTATATGTGTATTTTTATGCAGTTGATAATTGTTGGAAGTATCGGGCCGGGCCCGGGCCGGACCGGGCCCCTTGTTAAATATGACCAGGCCGGGCCTATTCGGGCCTAAAAATTTCATTTCGTGCTCGGGCCGGGCCGGGCCTCAAAAAAGAGGCCCGCGCCCACCTCTACTGTGAAGCAAAACTAGGCTTAGGTCTAGTGCCAACGCAGTGGTATGTGTGTGTGCGTGAGCAATATAGCTCTTGTAACAAAATAAGATAACACATGTGTGTACATTTGGTGTGACATCGGCGACCAACGTATCGCAGACATCTGTCAGCGTGGGACCTTTTTAAGAGATTTCTCGGCTGTGCACTTAAGAACTAGATAAGGGTTGTAGGGTTCGTATTTTGGGACAATTTATGAGCTTATGTCTAAATATCAATTTACATTGGTGTACAAGTGCGGTCGTTAAATTGGTTATTATTACCCTTCATGTTTTAGAGCATTCTAAACATAGAAGTCACTGCGAAGAATCTCATACCCAATAGGAAACGCTATCTGTTCATCCAGTGCCAGCTGATGCATCGCCCGCACAGATACATACGAGGCAGGCTTCATCCCATAAGTAACGGTGTCCAGCTTGAACACACGCAACTACAGTTGCATGAATTCCTCCACAGAATACACTGCAAGTTACTATCCTCGGGTGAGACCCTTACACACCTTACATCTTGCAAATATCTCCCGTAATCGCAACTGCATATGACCGAAATCGAGTAAGAATGTGGAAAAGCTTGTTTTGGATTACAGGACCGGCCACTAAAACGTCGTTCAGGGAATAACCAGATAAAGTTGCTGCGGATCCATCGAAAACGACCCGAAGCTTGGTAGTAGAGCTATCTTCCTTTGTGACGCAATGGTGAGGCAACAAATATCGGGAGCAGCTCATTGACTCTGCAGGAACCAAAGACATATGACCTAGATCAAGGTACTCGTTTATGAAAGCAACATAAAGAGATTTTCCATCAGGACGGCGATCTAACTTCCGTTCAAGGGATAAGAATCTACGAAGAGCTTAATGGTACAATTCTCCCAAGAGATCCAGATTGTATTTTGCTCACAGCCGAACACAATAATCGCCGGCTTGCAATCGGCGGAAATGCTGAGCAAAGTGAGCCTCACAATGTAGCTCTTCTTTGGTTGAATTTACTATGGGTTCAGTACAATTCTCTACCTCCCAAAACCGTCGCAGCAGTACTTCAAGTCTCTCGTCTAGGTTATCCTCAGCAGCTATTGCCGGAGCGCGCGAAACCATTAAAGAAGACCCCTGCTTTACACGGGAACAACCTCCAGATATGACCCATCCCAAGCGAGTCTTCTGAATTGTTGGCAATCCTGGCAATAGCTTGACCTGACCAACACAGAGGAGTTCGTAAAACAAGCTGGCTCCAATTAGAAGATCGACACGCTGCGGACTATAAAACTATGGATCAGATGCCACTAGCTGGAATATTCCAGTTGCAAGTGTTTATTCCGAAGCTTGGCTGCCGGTTTGTTAACCGGTCGGTTAAGTGGCACAGATCCAGTGGCCACAGGTACGGCATTTGCTGGAGCTGCATTGGCTCAATCGATGTCCTGTTTTGAGGCAATTTACACAGGGAAAACCTCTTGGCTTCTTTATGGCGATTTGTGGGAGGCAGTGCTATAAACAATGATTGATTTCGTGAGTGCGGTCATTGCACAGCACGCAGCTTAATATGTTTTGGTTAATGGCAACAAGTGTGGATTTAGAATGGTTAGGTTTTCTACTCCTTCCCACCTGACTGCTCGGCGCATAGGTTGCCATAGCAATAGCATAGCATAGCTGCTTCAAAAACGAGGCCATAGTCTTCCATGGCGGAATCAGGTTGATGAAGGCTGAGTCCTCTAATCGTTCCTCCCACTTGGCTTGAGTCGCTGGATCAAGTTTACGAAGCAGCACCTGCATGATGATGCATCCTGCGATCTGCTCAGGAGTGCCCAAAGCCTACAGCGCCCGAATATTAGCTTTGAACTTGTCCGAAAAATCTCCCGCAGCATCGAGACTAAGCCATCCTCCATAGCCTGTAGCTCCAGGCCCCAGCGCCTGAAAAACTAAACGACGATTATTAAACCTCTTTTTCAATAAATCCAATGCTATATTATAGTTGATGTCCGAGATTTCCAGCAAACGAACTGTCTCCAACGCCGAATCACGTAGGCAAGATCGCAGATGCTGAAACTTCTCAATGTTGGATAGGTCTGGATGATTGTCGATGATGGTGGTGAACATCGAGTAAAATTCTGTCCAATCCGCATATCCTCCACTTAACCTTGTAAATTGTATAGGAGGAAGGGAAGATCCTGGCCTACGACGAGGTGGCGGCTGAGAACCGGCAAAACCTGCAAACGTAGAATGCAGGGGCATGTATCCGCTAATCCTAGCAATCCGGTGCAGTCTAAATCTTCAAGCTCTTTGTGCAATGTCTCAAATTGCCCATTCAGCTTCTCGATCTTCTCCAGCTTTACCAGTAGCATGTAATAATCACATACCGCAGCCTTATCTTCCCAATCGGTAGCCAATCTCTCCACTTTCTCACATAGTCCCGTTGTCTCAATCCTCAGAAAAGACACCCTCTTTTTCTCCCTGGTCACTGGAGCGTCGTTGGCAACATCCATAGCAGCAGCGGCTCTAAAAACGTTCGTAGCGGGAAGAGGAACAAAAAGCGCAACGTGCGTTATAAACAGGAACCTCAAGCACAATTTGTGTATACACGGGCGGCCGGTGTATATACTTGTATGTCAGCTATGTGGTTGATGGCACTGGATCAGAGCGGCGAGCGAAACCAGACGAACGAACAGCAATTAAGTGTAAATTATTATGTTGAAAAGTAGTTTGTGATTGTACTGATCGATTAATTATTCTACAATCACGTCGGTGACACCAAATGTTGAGCTATTAAGCGTTTTTAATATCTATTGAGGTTTAATATTAATAAAAAGTTCCGAGAAGATTCAATTCAAATAATATATTATTGGCATGTAGTAGCGGCAGTACGTGTATGTATATTTATTGGAACAAGTATAGAGACCGAAGGTTACGAAGATCAATACCAGACTGATGACAGGGCAAAATGGACCGACTGCCCGTGCCCTATGCATAACTTTTTAACGAGAGCGTAAAGCATTATGGCATACAACAACGACAACAAGAAAATTGTACCATCTTTCGCAGGAATTTTGATAGAATGGATATACCTTAAGATATAGCGACTGAAATTCTGAATTATTCTACCATTTTGAATGTTTTTTCACTTAAAATTTAAAAATTTTGTTTATTTAGTACGTTTTTGTTTTCAGACATAAACTTTTCAGTGGCATCTATTCTTATAGCTATATGACATTAGAATGTGCTAACTGAATAGCTTGAAAAATAGAGATGGTCTTATGGGAAATGTCTGCGTTTTGCTTAAAAACATCATTTTGTATCAAATAGTGCGTCAGTTGTTAGACTTAAAGCCATTAGACATGTCTAGAACCGGCTACGAACAATAATGATGCCTTTTGTCTTTCATGCAGCAAAATTGGCTAAGTCTAATATCATATAGCTACTAACAAAATAAGCTACTAATAAATAAAATTGTCCAAAGAATGCCAACTGTACTCCATTTTATATTTTCCAAGCAATGCTTGTTTACTTGGTATGTAAATCCAATTTTATTAACAATTTTTAAATTGATTATTTCTATACAGAATGTTGAATTTGTGCTTTGCTTGGATACCATCATAGAAAGTTTATCCTCCAATCCAGATATGGCTATGTATATGCATGTTTCTAAACCACCCAAGGAAAAAACGTCAATAAGCTACTTTTTCAAGCTACTTAAATCAACGGCAGAAAAATTTGCATACAACATAACAGTAGAAGGTGTCCACAAGAAGATAAATTTGGCTGATTCAAAACTTGCGTGGGAGCATGAACGATTCAGCATAAAACGTTATCCTTCTTTTACCTTATCTTCACTGAAAAGCCATAGAAGCCCATCGCGAACAACCATATTCAAGGATGATGAAACACGTATTTTGACACAAACACTTAAAGCTTCAAGAATAATTGCAGAGGCCCTGGCTAGTTTCATGTACAAAATGGAACCAACAACAAGTATTTTTGACGGTCCATTTGTAAGTTTATGCTCATCTTCATAATATATAATAAATAATTCATCTCCTGTGTTTAAATTTTCAGGTTATAAAAGAAGAAAATGTCTTGCCGTATTTTGGAATCAAATCAGTGTTACATAACAATGATATTAAAGATGCTTTTGAAAAGTATCTTAACAATGTTAAAATCATATATGATAAAGCTGATAGTCGAGATCCTGATTTTATGTTCTACAACGAAAATGATGTGAAACTGAATGTTTACAGAGTTAAACCAGCGATTTTTGATATTTTCCTCACTGTTTTAATAGGATTTTATTTATTAACTGTATTCCTTGGCATACAATACTTTCCGCTTTTTTACAAAAAAGTTTCAAGACTTACAAGAGAGGAAACCTTGGTACAAACTAATGGACACTACACTGAACGACTAAAGTTTAAATGAATTTTTTTTTATGTATGTCAATATCAATAAATTTGTGCTAAATCAATCTTTAAATAATAGGAGAAATTTAAATAAAATATAAAGTCTAAATCTCTTTGCATTACTGTATTCTTCATTCTAGTTGGCGATGGGTTCGCCGGCAGTGACATCTGCAGCACCCAGGGAAGTGGGTGTTCATCAGGACCTCTAGATATTCTTCGCTGCTCTCCGCGAAAGTACCGCTCTTGCTGTGGAGCAGTCCAGGTGTGGTTTGCGCATTTGACAGTACTCGCCGAAGCTGTGAAGATAATGGTTTTAATCCCCCAATTTGCCGAATAATTATTTCAACTAAAAAGAAACACAGTGAAATAATAAAATTACTATATGTTGTTTAAGCTTTGCTTGCCCCTTTATATGACTCATTGTCGATCCGATCGTTGAACGCTGATTGGGTCGGCATAGATAAAAGCTTCGAGAGAACGCTTAGCAGGGCAAGCAAGTGCAAGGCTTAAGCAAACATAAGAGTATGAAATTTGTAGCAATAAAAATAGGCCATTTGTCAAGAAGCTAACACAACCCGACACGATTTTTCCTCAAAAAACCAAACCCACTTTTTCTGATAGATTTGTTGCTTTAAAATTGTTTGATGATAGTTTTTTTTACGGCAGAACTTTTTTTTAAAGAATTTTTAGAAAATGGTAATTTGTTATGCTTTTTTCAGAGGTAGGGCTTCTCTTTTTTACATATATTTAGTATCTTACAAGCCGTCAGCCATTCGGGTGATACAGGGGGACTAACAGACGAAGGGCCGTCTCGCCATAACTGGACCCTTGGATTAGGGGTAGGAGCGTTTCGGATCAGGGCTTGCCCTGACCGAGCGACCCGTCACCCGCCGTAACTGTACACACCAGAGGAAGTGCGACTATACTCTCCTCGTGGGGGCGACTGGAAACAGGTCCTGGTACGGTCAAGTCTCTGTCACGGATGCTGGCTAAGAGAGAAGAAAACTCTGGTAGTGAAATTACCCCAATCCACGGTGAAACAGGATAAGCTAACGGATGCTGGCCGAGGGGGAGATCGGTGCTGTTTATGCGAACTCTGGATACCTGCTGACCACCAGTTAAATCAGGCTTCCCGGGGCAAGCGGGCTATGCCTCGGGTGACTATCCCCTTCCTGCCTACTCGTGGGAACTATATGCCTAAAAAAAATATAAAAACAACAAAGGAGCTCGGTACTCCTCCTAAAGTACCGGAGAGACAAGCCAATCCCTCTACATCAACGCCTGGGAAACCAGGTCCTAAGAAGACGGGGAAGGAGACTCAGTCGGTCCGCCGTCTTCTAGCAGCTACCGATGAGAGGAGGGCTCCGATAAGCCAATCGGGCCCATCCACGTCGGGTGGCACCGGGGGAAAGCCGGTTATCGGGGTGGCTGCCAAGCAGAGCGTAATCGCGGCTGGAAAGCGCCTTGTGACCGGGGAACCCCCGTCAACCTCGACAGGCGGAGGTAATGCACCACAGGGAAAAAAGCCGTCCTACCAAGACAGGAGGCGCGCTGCTTTCATCATGTCAAACGACGATCCTGACTTCAGGTCGTCGGTGAAGGGGAAGGAGCAGAGGCTTTGGGCCAGCTGAATTATCCCGAATTTCCAGGCAGCCAAAGCTGGAAAGGGCGAAGCCAAGGCCCCGACCAGGCGGCAGCGCTCAGCGGATGATCCCGCTCAACAGCCAGGCCATGCCCAGCAAGCCAAGCGGGTGAAAAACCACCCTGCGAACAGATCGTTTGTGGTGGTGGAGAGGGGCAAGACCCTAATTGGCGTGCTGAATAGGGGCGCCAAGGACGGTAATGTCCTTCGGGACAAATGGCATCTGGTCGATGCAGAGCTCCAGGACAGATTTCTGGAGGAGCTCGTGGAAAATGGCGGGCCGCCGCCTAAATGTGAGGACGCCGGGTGGCATCAAGGCACGATGAAAGCCATCGCCTGCCAAGATGCCCGCTCGGCGGCCTTCTACACGAAGGCAGTGGCGGCGCTCAAGGAGGTCTACCCAGGGGCCAAACTGGAGGCCGTCAAGTGAGAAGACATCCCCAGCAGACCGAGGGCCAGAGCGTGGGTCTCGGTGAAGCCTGCAGAGCCGGAGAAGATCTTGAAGGTTCTGCAGGTCTGCACCTTACCTTCCTACAGAAAGGTGGCCAAGGCGGATGAGGTTACTGGACAGAGACGCCAGATAAGTCTCGTTCTCAATGAGGAGTCTCTCGTACTCCTGAAGAAGTCGGACGGAGTAGTGTAGGTTGGTCACGACCAACCTTACCCTCCTGCACACGCGCCCCTAAGGGCTCTCATTGCAGACTGCGAGGCCACGGACATCGGCCTAATTGTGGGATGCGACGGTAACGCACACCACAGTTAGTGGGGAAGTACTGACATCACTGGTACTCGAACTGGTCCGAGTAAAAGGTCAGTCTGGCGTAAGTTCTGCAGTGAAATCGAAAGTAACTCCGAAGCTTCACGCTTGCGCAAAGTACTATCGAAGTCGACCCCAACCTTGGGTTACCTGAAGAAAGCCGATCAGTCATGGACGACGTCCAGCAATTAATCGCTTAACCTTTTTCTCAGCACACACTTCCCAGGCTGCGTTGTAAACAGACCAACCACAGCGCACCTCCTTCTGTTGCCTCAAGATCCATTCTAAACCTGCTGAGTCAGGAGAACATATCCTGGGCAATTAAAAGGTTTAAACCATACAAGTCTGCGGGAGCAGATGGCATCATCCCAGCCCAGCTGATTCACGCCGGACAAAGGGCCATAAACTGGCTCAAACAGATTTACGAGGGAGTCTTCTCTCACGGATAAATCCCAGACACATGGCTTCAGACCAAAGTCGTTTTTATACCCAAGGCAGGTAAACCCTCGCACACTGCCCCCAAAGAATTCAGACCAATAAGTCTTTCGTCCTTTCTTTTAAAGACGATGGAACGGCTTTTAGGGCTGCATGTCAAGACGAGTATTCCGCCCAATCTAAACTCTGATTCTCAGCACGCCTATCGGAAGGGAAGATCCACCGAGACGGCCCTACACGCGATTACATCGATCATTGAAACGTCCTTTAACTGTAAGGAGTACACACTGGTAACTTTTCTTGACATAGAAGGTGTTTTTAATAACATCATCCCGACCGCCATCACGGGTGCACTGACGGACCTGGGGACTGGTTCCCGGACAGTGAGTCTCATCGATCAGATGCTTCGATGCAGGACCGTTGAGGCCTCACTGGGGACGTCAACTTCCACCAGGTTTGTCAGCAGAGGTACGCCGCAGGGCGGAGTCCTCTCGCCCCACCTATGGAACGTAGCAGTAAATGAACTGCTGCGAGAGATAGAGGGGGGTGGATGTCACGTGGTGGCGTACGCTGATGATGTTGCCATAGCATTCTCTGGGAAATTTCCACAGACGCTATGCGAGTGCATGACAAGCACTCTCACGAAAGTGTCCCAATGGGCGGGCTAGGTGTTAGTCCGTCCAAAACGGAACTAGTACTCTTCACCAGGAAGTACAAATTTCCGACACTGATTTCTCTAAAACTCTGTGGAGAAGCGCTAGTTTTTAGCAATAATGCCAAGTATCTCGGTCTGATCCTCGATAGGAAGCTCGATTGGAAACTGAGCATAGAGGATAGGGTAAAGAAGGCCACTGTGGCTCTCTATACCTGCAGAAAAACCATCGGACTCAAATGGGGAATGGCACCTTAGCAAACTCAGCCGTGTCAAACGCATGGCAGAGCTATGCATAACGGGCGGACTACGCACAACCCCAAGCGAAGCCCTCGATACCATGCTGTACCTTCTCCCTGTAGAACTCATGGGGAAAGGGGTGGCAACTCTTTCCGCTCTCAGAATGAGAGAATCCAAACTCTGGAAAGCATTCACGTTTGGACACTCGGGAATCTTGACGAGACTCCCGCAACTATCGGAGGGGACAGATTACTCTATACCGAGTGATCACCTCTCGGCGCCCTTCCAGGTATCAATCCCACTCAAGGAGGACTGGGAGAGGGGCGAACCTGGACCCACAAATGCGATCCACATATACACTGATGGCTCAAAGTTAAACGGCCGTGTGGGTGGTGGCGTCTACTGTAACGAGCTCAACATTAGTCATTGTTTCAGACTCCCGGATCACTGTAGTGTGTTCCAAGCGGAGGTTGAAGCAATAAACGAGGTCATTTCTATCGTCTCCAAACTTTCTTTAGACAGACACTCAGTGTGCGTCTTCTCAGATAGCCAAGCAGCTCTCAGAGCACTTGGCTCAATATCGTCAAACTCAACGACTGTCAACATGTGCCGCAGGTCTCTTAATGAGACCGCAGAGCATTTAGATCTCTCCCTAATATGGGTTCCTGGAAACAGGGATATCCACGGGAATGATGCTGCCGACGAACTAGCCAGGCAAGGTACTACCACACCTCTCCTACCGGAGAAGAAGCAGGTAGCGATGCCTTTGGCTACGTGTAGGCTACAAACACACGAAACCTTCGAGCCAATGGCCGACAGAAGATGGCAGTAACCCATCACCTGTAAAACTTCCAGGTCGATCTGGCCAAGTCGATCGAAGAAACACTCGGAAGAGCTCTTCAGCAGAGTACTCTTCAGCAGAGTACAGTGCTCTACCGTCATCCAAGCCATCACGGGACACTGGCAGATTGGCACGCACGCTGCCAGACTGTCAATCCCTCATAACGACTTCTGTAGAAGCTGCAGGGACGAAGAGGAAGAGGAGTCGGTCCCCCACTTCTTCTGTCACTGTCCGGCCCTGGGAAACCGTAGGCTACGGCTTCTTGGGGCTCCCTTTCTCACTGACATTCAGACGAGGGATATTGTCCAAATACATCCAAGCCATCGGTTGGGACTGCCCTTAAATCTGCAATTAGATTGCTCACCACGGTGTAGGGGAGAAGGGGTACACACCCATGCGGCATCACAACGGTCCTGTAGCAGGACCAAGTGAGCTGGGGTGAGGGGGATTTCCCCCTCTCTCAAACTACCGCCTTAACCTAACCTAACCTAGTATCTTACATTTGGTTATGAATTTTTCTGTTCTGTAAAGCTAATA